GTTGGAGTTAAACCGAAGTAATGCTTAATGCTTGTTGAAATTTGTAGTAATTTACAAGTTGAAGTTAAGCCAAGATTTATTCCTTAATTCGCTTGTTGAAATTTGTAGCAATTTACAAGTTGGAGTTAAGCTGATTCCTTATCTTCACTTGTTGAAGTTTGTAGCAATTTACAAGTTGAAGTTAAGCCGAGGATTATTCCTTAATTCACTTGTTGAAATTTGTAGCAATTTATAAGTTGGAGTTAAGCTGATTCCTTATCTTCACTTGTTGAAATTTGTAACAATTTACAAGTTGAAGTTAAGCCGAGAGTACTGTTTCTCTTCACTTGTTGAAATTTGTAGCAATTTACAAGTCAAAGTGAAACCGAGGTTATAGTTTGCAAATTATAGCAATCTACAGGTTGATCCAACCAAAGAAGATGCTTAACACTTGTTGAAATTTGTAGCAATTTACAAGATAATGTTAAGCCGACATGTGATCATCTATTGAAATTTACAGCAATTTAGAGGTTGAGGTAAAAGCTAAGTATATTGTTTAAACACTTGTTGAAATTTGTAGCAATTTACAAGTTGATCATTGTTATAACTTGGGAAAAAATTTACAGTATATAACACTTGTTGAAATTTGTAGCAATTTACAAGTAGGTTAGACCTAGATCACTGTTTAAATACTTGTTGAAACTTGAGAAGAAGCTTGCAAAGTTAACATTGAATAGTATATGTTAAACACTTATTGGAATTTATGAAGAGTTTGCAGGTCTGTATCTTGCCAAAATAAAACATTATTGTACCCGAGGTACGTAACCCCGAGAAGATTGCACAAAGGAGGCAAAATGAAAAGGCATGCAAAATATTCCAAGTATAGAATCATACAGACGCAATCAAGAGAAATTAAAGATTAAAGCGTTCAGACGAAAACAGTTGCAGTTGTATACAAAGAAGGCACTACGGCCTACCAGAAATAAAGTCGTATCCAACAGAAGTAGAAGATACATCAGCTAACTAGAAGAGCTTACATTGTTTCAAAACCAGAAGTACAGAAAAGCTTATATATCCAAAGAAACAAAAAGAGTACGGAAGACATCCAAGTTATGATTCTTTAGTTTTAGGAGCGATTTTGGTCTGGACCTCGGCAGATTCCTGGGGAACTACCTCGGCAGCCTTCTCTGTAGCCAGCTCGGCATCAATCTCTGCAAGTGTTTTGTCAAGACTTCTTTCAGCTAAGAGAAGGTCGGATGACAATTGCCCTGTAACAGCTTCCCTAGGCGCCTCCCCAACCTCATCACCCTCTTCATCTAAGGTTAAGTCCATGACTTGCTCAGTTGGAGGAAGGGACTTGGCCTCAGTAGCATCCTTGGATTTCCTCACCAAGGCCTCATCTTCATTGTTATCTTCATCCTCAGCCTCAGATTCTGACTCATCTTCAGCTTGACTTGAAGGTGGAGCAGGAGGAAGGAATGGGAGAGGAATAGCTTCAGCCTTGTGCAGAGAAGAATCTTCAGGAACATTGAGCTTTTTGGCCAGGGACATCCAACCAAGGGAAAAGCCCCTGTTACATGCCTGCCTAACTTGCAGTTTGTAGTCCTCAGCAACATCGACCATTCCTTGGGCGTAAGCTTTTTCATCGGCTTCAGTAATTTCGGCGTTTTTAGTGGCCAGGGCCTCCTCGAGCTCTTTTTCGGCTTGAGCCTTTTTTACCTCGGCATCTCTCTTCTCGGCCTCGGTAACTTTTTTGATGGCTTCAGCAGACTCCGCTTTTTCTTCGGCCATCTGTTGGGCCTTAGTGGCAGCCTCGGCCTGATCTTCCAGCTTCTTCATCTTTATCAGAACAACTTTGTTCTTCCTTTTGAGGGCAGAAACCTCCCTCTTCGTATCGACCAACTTCTCCATTGTTTCGAAAGCTTGCATGGAGAAGGAGTGAGCATGTTGGATGGCCTGAAAGAACACAAGGCACAAATTGTTACAAACTTTTACAAATTAAGAGAGAAAACAAATTTCAACACAAAAGCACTTACTTGGACAGAGTGTTGCAGCATCAAAGCGTAATTCTCATACTCACTCATCTTGGCGTTTCACTCAAGATCGCCTGGAAGGAGTAGAGCAATACTAAGGGCCACGCTGACGTTTATGTCATCAGCACTGTCGCTGGCTAGGACTGGCTTATCTTCCAGAGTAATTTCTGGTCTCCAAGGGACTTTTGGTACTTTGGAAACCGAGGTCGTCGCAGACGATGACCTCGGTTTCTTTGATTGGGTGGATTCCAATGGCTAGGCCTCAGCAAACCTTTTTGCAGAAGTAGAAGCAGTTCTTTTACTCTCAGCCAAGTGTGAGATGAGCAGAGCGTCCTCAGCCTCAACCTCAGTAGCTTTGGCCTTGGGCTGAGCCTTTTTAATTCTCTTCGGCTTTGGTGGGGGCATGGTTTGCGACGGTTGAGCGTCAACATCCGTGGGAAGGTCGGCTAGGAGATCTTGGGCAACAGGTTTCGGGCGACCAATCTCAGCAGTTTTTACGAGTCTTCGCCGATGTTTTCTTTCTGGTATTGGGATTAGGTATGGGCCAGAAGTTGATGGTTGGTCGGCTGGATCAGAGGTTGACCCTTGGTCAGCCCGAGATGTTGATACTGTTTGTAGAGTGGTAGCAGAGGGAGGAGATAGGCTCTTCTTCTTTCTTTTTGGGACGTCGGGCAGTGTGGATTTGTATGTCGGAATAAAATTCAGTAACAGGGGAGCCTTGCGCTTGTGGATTGGAAGAGCTAGGAGCTTCTTTAAATCTTCTCCTGGGAAGAAGGATTGGCGGAAGTTTTTTGGTGGCTGATGAAGATCTGCAGGACAAACAAACAAGACATTAGAAACAGAAAGTTTTGAAGACTTGGAAAAGAAATAACTAAGTATTGGCGCTGGGCTCTTACCCTTGCCCTCTTTAAACTGTTCGAGGAAAAGGGTAGAGGTGAACATCTTCGTCTGGACCAAATTCCCAATTTCCCGAAACAATGACAAAGTCATCCCCGGCTCCCTTGTTGGAATCCGGGAGGTCGGCTACAATTTTGAATTCAGTAGACCTCGGCTTGAGGTAGTAGACGTAACCTCTTTCCTTCAGGTTAAGGGGGCACATGGTATAACAATATTGTACATCGGCAAGGGTGATCCTAACATTCTCCTGCCTAGCTAGGGCTATGATACCATTAATCACTCGATAGGAGTTGATGGTAAGTTGCATAGGGTTCAACTTATAGTAGTGGAGAACCTCGCGAAAAAGGGGATTAAGTGGAAGCCGGAGTCCGCACTCAGTAAAAGATACTTTAGGAAAGGGCATTGAATCATCTGTGGGCATGATAGAGTCATTATCTTCATCTAGCCTCAGATGGACATCGGCAGGAATAGAGAACTCCCGCCTAAAGTACTCGAGTTTGGTCGGAGTATCTACCCTATGTCTCCACATACCCATAACGTCGGCCTAAAGTCAGAGGGCTAGATTTCAGGAAGAAGGTGCTCTTAAGGGGTTATTGGGACCTCGGCAAAACCCTAGGTAAGGACTGATAAGGCTTGTTTCCGTTTTCCTTAAAAATTGAAGGTTCTACAGACAAAACCCAAACCTAAATCTATGAAAGCAAAGATTGAAAGCAAGAATTAAAGGCAGAGATCTGGAAAACAACACAGGAAACAGGAAACAGGAAACAAAGAATGACGTTTCAGAATCAAGAACAGAGATATGGTTCTCAAAAGCGAAAGAAATACAGGCTCAAGAACAAAGGCAAAAAAGTATTGAAACAGTACAAGTGTTCAAGACATGAGTGAAATCATGGAATAAGTGCGTCCAGACAAATAGTTCAGCAAAATCAAAGGTTTGAAACAAAGCAATAATGGCAGCAAGTAAACAAAAGCACATAGAAGAAATTTGGAATAAGAGGAACAGAGGCTTACCAGAACAAATGAAGCCGGAATAAAAGGTCGCCGAGGTAAGGCAACGGTTGCAGACACAACGGAACGACGAAAACTTCAAAGGAAGAATGAAGACGGTTGCAGAGCTTGGAGCTAGAGCAATGGCAGATTTGAGAAGGTTTAAGAGAGAGAGAAAGCCAGAAGATCGAAAACAAAAATAAAGAGACGAAAAGAAAGGGGGAAAAGTTTTGTAAAAAACTTAAAACGGCGGCAAAAAACGGCATTTATTGCGCCTGGAGGAACGTGTGCGTCAGATGGCGCAGACGGCTTATAAGCGCGTCGCAAGCACGAACCAATAAGGTAAAGACACGTAGAAGAAACGGTTGAGAAGTGATGCATGACAGCTCATACGCATGGGAAAATTCATTCAAGTTCTTGAAAACAAGACATATCGGCTTGACAATCTCGGCCAAAGAGTTCTTGCGCCGAGGTAATAGGAAGAAAATACAGATATATGTTCCATCACCTCAGAACGCCGAGGTAAGGTAATAGAACCTAGGGGGCAGTTGTGGGGATGTATTTTCTGAATACCAACACGTGGCATGGGTGACGCCGACGTGTCAGCCGAGGTGCCACGTGTCGTGGTAGATTATGCCGAGGTTATCTTGGCAAGGCCGAGGTTATCTTGGCAAGGCCGAGGTTATCTCCGAAGATATCAGAATCCGAGATAAGCGGATAAGGGACAAGAGTCCTAGAGTAAAGAGAAGACTTTGCTAAGATAAGGATAAAGCTCTTAGGGAGTTTATCTATATCTCTTGAGGAATCCAAAGTAAGTACTAAATTGGAGTCCATAGAAGTCAGGCTTCTAGTAGGACTTGGATTGAGTAAACTATAAAAGAGAGGCACCCCTGTGGGTCTAAGGTACACAGTTTTATACTCAAGCTTGTGAGTTTAGCACTTGATTATCTTTGAGAGATATACTGACTTGATCGTCGGAGTGCCCTCGGGTGGAAGAGCCACCGCCGGAGCCTTTTTCTTTCTGTAACAGGTTTGCTGAAGCCATCTATTCTGCCAGCGCTCTCCAGCTGATTACTAGGCGGGCAGTGTGGTCAGAGAATTATCCACACGCGTTCTTATTCCGGTTATTAGCCTAGATTTACTATGTGATGCGCACAGCATACAAGTATAGACTGGATCGTCTGAATTGGAACAAAACATTTCATGTTTATTTTTTAAAGTGGTTTTATGGTGCTATCCGCAAGTAGGCTAAGACGTGGATTTGCCACCCGCGGGTGGGCCTAGAAAAACATGATTTTGCCACTATCTAGTGGGCTTAAAACACACATTTGATGAATTGTTCCAATTCAAATAACCCAACCTTCACCCACAGGCATTCAGGCAGTTATATCACATAAGTATATAGCCTCATGGTAAGCATGCTATTCATGGCAGTCACTCACACGCATGCAAGGATGCTAAAGCATAAAACTTACCGAGCGCTCCAAGCCAAAACAGAAACTAATTAGAAATCCATACATGATCCTAATTATACAGAAATGACTAATGCAACACATGCAAAAATGCAACTATAGCAGACTCAGCTATTCTAAACATGGCATATGAAATGCTACAGCTAACATGTATTCAACTTGGAATTGAAAACACAATGCAGTTAGTATGATGCGCCGAGCCCGATGCATGCAAAACAGATGAATGAATGCAAACATGCTAGCATACTGTATGCTAATTGAAACATGCCCTAATCTAACCATCATAAGCGGGTAAATAAAAGGAAGAAAGACGTGAGGTTGGAAGACATACATCACACACACGCACACTTATTACAACACTGCCTTCGCGCAGAGGGTCCGAATAAATAATATACAGTCCCAAATAATTACAGTCCAAATATATACAAAACCCTAATTAATTTACAAATTTAACTAGGAAAGTAATAAATTGGCATGCAAGCCAGGGATTGCCTCAACTCTGATCCGGATGATGAATGATGCATGTTCGGGTTGCCTTACGCGGAAATCCATTGCGATGCCCAATTAGCCTCTGTTTGCAATTGTTCTTGGGATGCGTGTCAAGCTCCGGAAGGCTGCTGACTCTTGATTTGCTGTAACAGAGAGCAAGAAAGGGGCATGGCAAAGTATTTTCACATATGTATGCATGACTACTCTTCAGGAAATGTAGTCTTCGATCCTCGTGCCACCAATCACGCATCTCAATGCATGATGGCCGAGGAGTCGATTTGCACAACTCAATATGAAATGAATGCACATATGGACACAACAAGGCCTAGACTCCATCATGGATAATCCGGAGTGTCGGCGACTAGGAATTGAGACACGTTCCGTCACTCAGAGTATGAAACGTACCTCGTTTCCCGTGCTTGGGCTAATTCCTATCCCAAGAACAATGCAATATGTATGACATACATGAATGCAACTAATATACAACCTAGTATGCACAATGCTATGAAATGGCATACACGATGCACGAGGTAACATGGCATACACAATGCGCTAACATACAACCTAGCATACACAATGCTATGAAATGAAATGGCATACACAATGCACAATGGACTTACACCAATACGAGTGGACCTCAGCCACACTCACATAAGTAGCCATACGATGAAAATAAGATAACTCGAAATGCGTGCCCACGTGCACGCGAACCGAGGATCGACCCTAAGGCACCAAATGTCACTCTAACAAGACATGGCAAGGCATGGAATATGACATACTAGCATGCAAATTTCAGTAGCAAAATATGATGCAAAACAGCCCCAGAACATGGAAACATGGCACCCGATACATGGAATGAGACCCGAAACATGAAATTAGGTACATGGAATGACCTATGGCTATGCAAAGCATGCATTATTTGAACATGAAGTGTGAATAAAGAATCAAGATAGTCCCAAAAAAAGTATATTTACAGTTTTAAGCAAGGCCAAAAAGTGAACACAAATAGGGCTAAGTTAACATGAAAAAATGGCTCCAAAAGAGAGATAATGAAGAAAGTAGCAGCTTCTGGCCCTAAATGTCCAAGAGCCCTTCAACAAAGTTGAAGAGGGACTCAAAGTGAAGCACTTTACAGTTTACAACAAGCCACGAAAACAAACACAAGTATGGCTAAACTATTGTGCAAGAAATGGGCCAAAAAGGAGA